AACCAGAACAAGAATTTATAAAATATGTATCAGGTTTCTATACTGCAGTAGAAAGTCACATTAGGAAAAAAGAAGATGTTTACATAATTTTTGTTGAATAAAACATAAAATAATTGTTGTTATAAACGAAAGAAAATTCTCATTATGTACTTTAATATTCGATGAATTTTTATTGATTTGATCAATTTAAACAAACATAGTGACTATGTCTATACTTGAGATATTTTAAAAATCATTAAAACTATGAAATGAAAGAAATACAATTCTTTTCAAATATGGTAAAGTCATAAGCAATATAGAATGTCTGTTAAAGATGTTATAAATAGTTGTATCATAAAAACTGAAGTGTGTGAAATAATAACTTTAATAACTCCAAAACTATACATAACTAAAGTCATGGAGGAAATGGAAATAAGCTTTAAATCTTTAGTTTTTAATTTGAACACTATTTTTTTATTCTTATTCTGCGAAATCACATTAAATGATATTTTTATTTTTAACCACAGTAGTTTTGTTGGTACAGCTACGTTTGATAGTTCATCAGGTAAAGTTAAACGTTCATCAGTTCAAGCTTGACGAAAAAATAAATTCATCGTGTATGACTATATACATATATTAAAATAAGAAACAAGATATTAAAATCAATTATTTTATACTATATCAAGTTCTGCAATAGGTCCTAAATGAAATAATATATGGAAGAATAGATGAACTTTTTTTCAAACTTACCTAAACTAATAATCATTAAATAAATTTGAATATGAATTCGGTCTTCTACACTCTAAATAAAATCCGTTTCCAAGAAAACCCAAATGAGCTCGGAAACCTTCTCGGAAACCCAAAAAGGTTTGCGAAAAGGTTTTCAATTTTTTTATAGGTTTCTAATAATACCTTTTAGGTTTCCGAATGTTCGGAAACCGATGAGTTTTCTAGAATACTGAATTCGATGCTCTAAAAGTATTCTGGAATACCTTTTTTTCGTATCGGAAACCCTATTACCATCTTCGAAAACCACTGAGGTATTCTAGGAAACCCATATTGCAAAATAAGTTGGTTTGGAATCCGAAGCAGTATCCGAAAATACTTTTTTTGGTTTTCGAAATATTCTATCGGAAACTCTTTCGGTTTCCGAACTTTATGTATCTGAGAAGGGTATTGTAGAAAACCTATATTGGTTTCAGAACTTCATATATCTTAGAAGGGTTTTGTAGAAAACCTACACTGGTTTCCGAAGTTAAGGAAATGTTTGCAAAGGTCTTCACTATAAGTTAACCTAGCGAACACTATTTCCGAAAAACTACTTAATACTGAAATATTCTTTTCTACTATTCATCCTTCTGAACTTTGAAAGATTTTTAGGCAACATACAGCATCAGTAAGTTTGGCATAAAATATGTTATTATTAGTAAATCATCTTGAGTATTAATATATTGTTGAAATCTAAAACTGTTTTATATTATCGAAATATTCTAAACTTATCTTTATATTTTTAAACACATCGAAACAAATATAAGTATCCAAAAAGAAATAATTCCGACAATTTTCAAAAAAGTAAATAAAATTAATGGCTGTAGTATTATGTCTCTATTTTATGTTTTTTTTTATATGAATGAAATTCTAATAAAAGACCGATTAAATCCAATAATCAATAACATTGTGAAACTTTGGATAGTATGAAGTCGAAAAATTCTTCTCTTATAAAACAGTTATTCTAAAATTGTTCGATCTCAAAAACCACAGTCATAGCATCTGAAATCCAGTGAACGATTTTGACTTTATCAACAAGAATATAAAAAGCTTATTGTCAATTGTATTGTATGTTAGAATATTCGTTAAACTATCTGTTAAAGGAACAGTGAATCATCGTTCTAGGATGTTATCGTTCTTTTCCATTTTTTATCGCACTTATATTCTACAGTCGAATTAAAATCAAATATCAAGCCTCTAACATTAAGATTAATTTTTAAGATATTATTGTGGTGCTATTAGCTATTTTACTTAGATTACAGTTGAATGTAATGTGTCGTCATGTGATGAGGATTGGTTGAAATATATTTAATCTCATTTAACAGACGCTTACATTAATAAGAAATGAACAAATAAAAGAATGTTTACAAAAACAATTGTTTTTCTCTATGCTAAAGTTATTTATATCTTGGTTTTTATAGATGAACTTCAGTCAACCATTTAAATGGGAAATTAATGATGTGTCCGCTTGGTTGCGGACATTTATATCCAATGATGATGTAATTAATATATTTCAGAGTGAGTCGTCCAATGTATATAATAGTTTCTTTTTTCTCCTTCTTCTTTATCGATTTCTACATCGCTAAGTTTATTCTATTATTCTATTTTATATTGCATGATATACAGATAATTGTTTTCTTTATTGTAAGATTGAATAATTTAACTAATTTACTATGTCTACTGACATTTTTTTGTGCAACATTTGTAAAACAGATCGATTATTTAACAAGTTTCCAGAATATTTTCGTCATATAACATTATATCATGCTAATGAACCTAATTTTAAATTAACATGTAATTTATCAGACTCGTGTGGCGTTATGTATAAAACGTTTACATCATATAAAATGCATGTTCATCGACATCATAAATCATTACTCAATTCGTCATTTGAACAGCGCGGAAATAATGACATAGATGATATTAATCAATTATCTTTTTTGCAACCTGATACAACAGCTGACTGTTCAACCATATATGACAATAATGAAGACAACACTATATACACTGATTTAATGGATGATAATCTAGATGACAAATGGAATATTTTTAAAACAAATAATTCTTTTGATGATGGAAAAATAAATCTTAGCACGGTTCATCAACAATACACACGATTTTTACTTGAAATGAGAGAAGAACACATTTTGCCTCAAACAGTAATTCAATCAATTACAACACATATAGTCAATTTACTCGATATTATCATAGAGCTTGTGGAAGAACAAGCAAAACAAGAAAATTTAGCTGAACAACAACCAACAGCAGCAGCAAGTATTTCGATCGATGGTTTACGTAAAACCATAAAGAAAATTGAACAAACAATTACTCTTTCAACACGAAACGAATATCAATTTCTTCAGTCATGCAAAAAGTTTTTTGATTATTCACCTCCAGTAGAAAATATTCTTTCATCAAATCAATCAAAAAATGAACAATCGTATTATATACCTATTAAACATTCATTAAAAAGAATTTTACAAAAAGATGAAATGATTCCACTTTTAGTTGAAAATATTCGAAGTCAAGCTGCACTAAATCATAGTGATCATGATTTGATGTTCTCATTTAGAGATGGTATTAAAGCTGAAAAAATCAATAAACAATCGTTTTTGATTCAATTATATGTTGACGGGATTGGAGTTACCAACCCTTTGGGATCTAAAAAAGATCAACACAAATTAACACTAGTATACTTTGCATTGGAAGATATACCAGATATATTCCGATCTACATTGCAGTGTATTAATCTTGCATCTATTTGTTATACTAGATATTTAAATAATAATGAAAAACTAAAGAAATTTTATGAACCAATTGTTCAAGACTTAAATGATCTACAAAATACTGGTTTAGTTATTAACACATTCAATAGTCAAATCTTGTTCACATTTACAACAATTGCCGCTGATAATCTTGCAGCTCATGAAGTTGCCGGGTTTCAACTAAATTTTAATGCCGGTCATTTCTGTAGGAGGTGCATGGTTTCATACGAAAATCGTCTGATACCATTAACCGATATTCATTTTATTCACAGAAATCATCTACAACATCAACGTTATTTACAACTTATTGAAAATAATGCCGGCATTAACTCAATATTAGGTGTGATTGGACGTAGCCCTCTGAATGATCTTCAGAATTTTGATCCTACTGCTTCTTGCCCTGGTGATGTTATGCACGACTTCTTCGAGGGTAATCATTAAAAAGTTAAAATTTAACTTTGCAATTTTTTTCTTTTCATTTTAGGCGTGTGCCCGTTGATTGTTATGGCTATGCTGAAAGAAGCATCACACTTAAGATTAATGACTTATGCTGCTATTCAAAAAAGAACAGAGAGTTTTGATTATGGTGAATTAGACAGAGCTAGGACAAGTACAAGTACCGCAAGTAAAAGTACTATACTTGTACTTGAAGAAGTGTACTTGGTACTTGTACTTGTACTTGAAGAGGAGTACTTGGTACTTGTACTTGTA